AAGGGGAAAAGTTCCGCAAATTTCGGGCATTGATCCAAGGGGATCAGGAAGATTAGATATAACCTTCTTGGGTTATATATACACGTTACATATTAAAAGAAAAAGGATTCGTTATCGCAACTGGAGTTGTCGATACAACAGGAGTGTGTTGGTGAAATGGGATCTTGATAGGTAAAAGAACAGTCGAACATGTCGGACAGTGAAGTCGGACATTGGTGATATCGAACACGGACAGAAGTACGGTTCGAGTACGTACAGAGATGGATGAGTATTGAAGGTAGATCTACTCTGTGACTAGTTTGTGAAGAACATGTGCGTATGTGCTTTATACGCCGCGACAGCTGGTGAGAGCTGACGCAGACGGCTTCCGGAAGAGATTTTTTGTACCTGCTTGTGGAGATCATTGTTGATCGACTTCTGGCAAGAATAGCAGTAGAATAAGATCTAATAGGAAGTGGTGAGACTGTTCATCCGCAGGTTGAAGCCCAGCATCACTGGCACCTGTTCCTATTGTAGGCAATCCATAGCCGACGTAGATTCGAGCTCAGTATACTCCAGAGGTAGCTAGAGCGTTGAGGCTCTCATTACAGCTACGGAGTTTATTATCTGACACATATGATTGTGAGACGAAAACAGGTGGATTTTGCAAAAGAATGTGTTGCTGCAATTGGATCCTTTGTACAAGGATATGGTCACACAACCAGCAACAGTCAACAATCAAGAACAATTCATGGTATTTATCTTGGAGTAAATGACAGCATACAAGCAGGACATATGTTACTTGATCTTAATACAAAAAAGACAGTAACGAGACCCTATATAACGGTACTTCCGATCACCAAGCAAGTGATCAAAATTGTGGAACAAATGGCACACGACGAGGGCGTTTGTGATTTGCGTACTTATCATTGGAAGAATGGTGAAATCATATTGGATGGTGATTTGCTCGCAGGAGTGGACCCAGATGAACTGTGGGATGATACATATATTCCACACAAAAATGAATACAAACAAAGCAATGAGAATCTTTGTAGTGAAAAGATTGATCACGATGAAATTGATGCTTTACTTGAAGAAGCGGAAGAATTTATTGAAAACTATGATGATGAGCACACCAAAAATGTTGAAGAACAGACAGAAGACAGGAGTGTTGCAAGTATTTATGAACGATTGAGACAGAGAAATGATGATGATAATTCCGATCAAGATCCCAATCCAAATGAAAAATATCAGAATGATGAAGATTTAAATGAAAAGATTCAAGAAATTGAAGAAGACATACAAAAAGACAAGGAAGATGTTGAATCACTTAACAATGAAGAACAAATCGAGGAAACCCGCAAAACATATGAGGAAAATGACAATTTAATTGATCAAATTCAAGATGAAATCAAAGAATGTGAAAATCAAGTCAATGATGTTCGCGAATTTGTGGCAAATTTGGATGATAATGAGAATGAAAATGATGAATCTGACAATAATTCGGACGAATCAAGTGACAACAATAATTATGAAAATGATGAAGTGAATAAAGAGGACATATTCAGTCAAAGGAAAACCAGGAGTGGTAAATCTTATGTTCAAGATGGAATAAAAATGAGACCAACCAAACGTAATAATCGGGATCAACCAAGGTATAATCTACAATACCTGAATCGAAAGAAACCGAAGTGTAATTTGCTAAAGAACAGGAGTGCAATGAGAAAAAAGGAAATAGTCAAGAAATTGAAACGTTATTTGAATGAAATAATTTGAACGAAGGAAAATTCAAGGAAAAGGATTCCAAAAAAAGAGTCGAATTCCAATCTACTATTCCAACAGGTTGGAAGTGACAAGAAAACCGAATATGGAAGAGATAAGGCAACTCTGATTGCGCGATTCATGCAACAAATCAAGGATAAAGTTCAAAATGAAGGAGTATTGTTTGTCCAACAATACTACCTAAATAAGGGATTGAAATTATTCAAAGAAGAAGGTAATGAGGCTGTGATGAAAGAACTTGACCAATTGATACAAAGAGAATGTTGGGAACCAATTCATGTTGAAGACATGACTGATTTGAAAAAAAGAAGAGCCCAAGATGCTATGATGTTATCAGCAGAGAAAAACACTGGTGAAATAAAAGGAAGATGTGTATACAAAGGAGATGGAACTCGAGAATGGCTTTCTCGAGAGGATACTTCAAGTCCGACTGCAGCATTGGAAGCGATTATGATCACATGTGTAATTGATGCATATGAAGGACGAGATATGATGTCTTTGGATATTCCAAATGCATTTATTCAAATTCAAATGCCAATGGATGCAAAATCAAGTGTGATGATGAAGATCACTGGTTTATTGATCGACATGATGATACAACTGGAGCCAAGGTATCGTGATTACATTGTAATTGAGAACGGAAAACGAGTGATTTACGTGAGAGTATTACGAGCCATCTACGGGATGTTAGAGGCCTCTATGCTTTGGTACAAAAAGTTGAGAGGAGACATGGAGAAACATGGTTTTATTTTCATTCCATATGATGGATGTATTGCCAACAAGATTGTGAACGGCAAACAACAAACTATTTGATTTCATGTGGACGATCTATTATCAAGCCACATTGATCCAAAAGTGAATGATGATTTTTGTGAATGAATGAATCAAAAGTATGGTTCAATCAAACCAGTCAAATCCAAGCGAGGAAAAATTCACGAATATTTGGGAATGACCCTAGATTTCAGTAAAAGGGGGAAGTCAAAGTCCGAATGGATGACTATGTTAATTGAATGTTGAATGAACTTCCTGTGAAGTTCAAGGAAAATGAAGGGTGTAAGACACCAGCAAGTAACGATTTGCTATCAATTGGAAAAGGAGAAAAATTGGATGATGAGAAATGTGAAACTTTTCACACATTCATCGCCAAAGGATTATTTCTGAGTAAGAGAGCGAGATTGGATATTGCTCCAACTATTTCAGTACTTTCTACAAGAGTACAGAAACCAAATGAAACTGATTGGAAGAAGCTAATGAAGCTGATGTATTATCTGAATGGAACAAAGGGAATGCACCTGACGCTGAGTGCAAAAGATTTACAAACTTTCAAATAGTATATTGATGCATCATTTGCAGTTCATCCAGATTTCAGAAGTCACACTGGAGGTGTATTGACTATGGGTGAGGGAGGATTGCAAATAATCTTGAAGAAGCAGAAGTTGAACAGTCAAAGTTAAACAGAAGCCGAATTGATTGGTGTCGATGATGCTGCGACACAGATATTCTGGACAAAATTGTTTGTGGAAGCACAAGGTTATCCTTTTGAAGAGAACATTCTATACCAGGATAACAAGAGTTCTATTCTATTGGAAAAGAATGGACGTGATAGTGCCGGAAAGCAAAGCCGAGCTTTGAACATTTGATATTTCTTTATGACTGATCAAGTCAAGAAAGGAAATGTGACTATTGAATATTGTCCAACTGAAAAGATGTGACAAAAGTTCTTGGATTTCAGATCATTGGTTCAAGGAGAACAAGATTAGGAGCAATGCAATTTCCTTTGATGTTCCGTTGTCATCAACTATGTTAATGAGACAGCAGGAGTGTGTTGGATATATTAGGATTTTCGAAGTACATATTTGGAGAAACGAGAAAAAGAGAATACATGTGAACGATAGAGAAATGACATCGACTGATAAGACTAAAAATGAAGACTGATACGACTAAAAATATCGTGCGTGGCGAGTCAGAAAAGACAATTTATTTCTATGGAAAACATCATGATGATGATGTAAGAAAGCAAGATTCAAGCAAGAACCAAAGTTGGATACTAATCAAAGTACCGACTACAGTGGAAGGTGAACGGATAAACAGATTGAACTTGCAGCATGTCAGGCTGACATAGAGAGAATTCTGAGAATTTCCACTGAGCTGGAGAAGAAAGAGTCAAAGTCAAAAGTTGACAGACTGTTCTCACTTTTTATAATATATTGCAAGCAACAAGTGAATTGGTTGATAAAGTAGGATCTCTGATATATCTATGTACTTCTATATACTGTAAATTCATATCCTTAGAAGGCAACAATACCTGGACAGCTAAATTGCAGTCAATTGAACAGGTAGGTTGCAGGCGGCAGTGGATTGCTTACCGTTGGGATATGACAAAATATGAGTTTTTACGTTCCAAAAAGAAACTATTCAAGTACAAAGTTTTTGACACGTACGATCGGACTTTGATCGTGATGTTGGGATTCGACGCAAGTATGCCGGACGCAAGTCTGTCGGACAATCTACATCCACACAAAAAGGGAATGACCCTATACAAGTGAGATATTGATGTTGTGTACAACGCAGTAGGGAATAATACAAGATGTCCCAAAGTACTGCATTCAACACAGAATTGTTGTAGAGGTCGAATCAAGTTCTGTAAACAGGGGATTTTCCAAAGGAAAATCGTTGAACTTACTTTTGTGATTGAATCATCAATTCAAGCCAAATATTAATCAAATAGGAACAATTTCACTCAAAGTATACCTAGACACAGGAGAACTATTGTTGTGA